CACTTTGAGTCAAAATTGACTCAATGACAGTGGGTTTGGTAGACAACTTAAGTAAGCTGCTTTTTTGGACAAGTGCTGTTGCCATCTCTTTTCTCTGAGAGGTAGAGATTAAAAGAGTTTTCAAGAATCTGTATATAAGGGTTCTAACTTATTGTAGAAGGAGCCCTATTGGCACAGTAGTCAAAACACTTGGCTGCTAACTGAAAGATAGACCGTTCAAACCCACTGACCTCCCAGCAGGAAAAAGATGAGGCAGTCTGCGTCCCAGGAAGATTTACAGCCTTGGAAACTCGGTGGGCCAGTTCTGCTCTGTCCCATAAGGTTGCTGTGAGTCGGAATTGACTCCAAGGCAATGGGTTTTGATGGGTTTAACTTACTATGGTTGCATTATACTTAGAACCAATACTATGAATTATACGTGAGAAGTAAGTAGTACATGGGAGTCAGCTACAAGGACCCACTGCCTGATATTCCCTGTGTAGATAATTAATACTGTGTGGTCTTTAACTGTGACATTCATACTCATGGTCATCCTGATTTATGATTTTAGAAATATGCTGTCTTTGAAACATATTCATTAGGGCATACTCCTGGAGGTGGTTTTTCTCTAATGATGATGAATTTGTGCTGACCTAAGCACTCTTTCAGAGTCTTTTTGTGTGCTGGAGAACTTTCATTTGCAAGACAAATGGCTGCTTTAGGAGAAGTTTGTGCAGAAATGAGAAAGGTAAACTGGACCATATAGAGACTGTGAGTAGCAGAGTGGTTAAATATTTGGCTGCTAACCAGGAGGTCAGCAGTTTGAACCCAGCAGTAACTTCACAGGAAAAACATGAGGCAGTCTGCTTCTGTAAAGATTTACAGACTGGGAAACCCTATGGGGAAGTTCTACTCTGTCCTACAGGGTCACTATGAGTCAGAATCCACTTGATAGCTGTGGGTTTGTTTGTTTGTTTGTTTGTTTTTTCACTTTTTTGGTTAAGCTGAATTATAGTTTGTTGGGGTCCTCCCCCACCCCCAGGTTGTAAGTGTATGAAAAAGTGTAAAACTTTATAAGGAAAGAATTATGAAAGAAAATAAATTTAATTTAGCTTAAGGTACTTGACTGCTAACCAGAAGGCTGGGGTTCAAACTCACCAGCCACTCCTCAAAAGAAAGGTTGGGCAATCTATTTCCATAGTGATACTGCCTTGGAAAACCAAGGAGGGGTCCCTATGAGTCGGATCTGCCTCAATAGCAGTGGGGTTGGTTGGTTGGTTGGTATGGAAAAGAGTGGAAATAATGAAATTGAGAATGGCCCAGAAAATCTGAGCCATATCTCTTTGACCTGTGACTTCTTTCTGAACCCCCCATCTATATTTTACTATTTATATTGTGAGGATGATGCAGGACCAGCAGTGTTTCATTCGGTTGTACATAAGGTCGCTTTGAGACGGAGCCGACTTGAAGGCACCTAACAACCACCACCACCTGTAATTCAGCCCTACCTAGGTGGCCTTCAGACATCATGGCCAAAGCAAATTCCTGATCTTCTTCCCAGACCTCCACTTTCAGTTGTTCTCTAGGTCTCTAGGTCTATGATGTGTTTTCAAAGTTGAGTCATCTGGTCTACCTCCATCCCTCCTCCCACATAACAAATCAGCTACTTTGTCCTGTCAACTCACCTTGTCAAAAGACTCCTTGCTTCCCTCCCTCCCCCCAGTCTAGATCCTCTACCTTACAAGCTGTGATCTTTTTCCAAAAAAACAAATCCTACCTAGTTCTGCCTCCTCTGGCCTACAGTATCAGGTTCACAACTCTGGTACATAATCCTTCCTCTTTCACTCTTAACTAGCATTGGCTCCTATGCCCACCACCTACGTTCACATAACTTCCTTTCACAACACCATGCCAGTCTTTGAACACCCCACCTCTGCTGAGCAAGCATTCATTTACCACTGAAAACCTCACTAAAATGTCACTATCTTTGTGGTTGTTTCCTAGCTGAATTAGTTACTCTCTACTCTGTGTCCCCATAGCTGTCATTCATACCTCTCTTGTATATGAAAATTATCTGCTTTCCTTTCCTTTCCCTTAGAGCCTGTGGTCTCATCAGTCAGTGACTGTGTCTTAATTACATATTTTTAGCAATCTGCCAACTGCCTGGTATTTGGTAGGATCTCAAATGTCTGGTGAATGGATTAAAAAAGGAATGAATGAACTGGGATATGATAATACCATATTCTAAATAACTGAGGCACTTAGTTCCAAACAAGGAATATCTGCAATAGTATATGGCTTAAGTATATATTAGGTCCCTGAGTGACACAAACTGTGCATGGCTACTATCCAAAAGGTTGAAGGTATATATCATTGCAGAGGTGCCATGGAAGAAAGACCTGGTGATCTCTTTCCATAAGATTATAGCCTTTGAAAATGCTGTGGAGCAGTTCTACTCTAAAACACATGAAGTCAGCAGGAGTCAGAATTGACTCAATGGCAAGAGATGTTGGTTGGTTGAAGTATTTATTAGATCAGTTTTACCCTTGAACCTTTCCAGTATTAGGCCACTGGGTCTTTCTTCTAAGTATGTTCAGTCAAGTGTATTATGGGTCTCCCTCACCCTCTCCTTCTCCACCATACATAATAAACCAAAAAAACAAACCCATTGCCATTGAGCCAGTTCTGCCTCATAGTGAACCCTGTTGGATTTCCAAGGCTGTAAATCTTTATGGAGGTAGATTGCCTCATCTTTGTCCCGTGAAGGAGTTGGTAGGTTTGAACCACTGACCTTCTGATTAGCATCCAAATGCCTTACCCTGTGCAATACCAGAGGTCCTTACCATACATAATAACATGTATAATTTTATCTTTAGTGTATCCCTTTACAAACAGCCTTCCCTGACTGATAGCTGAATTTTGACTATAACATTCAGAACACTCAGCCTCAGCCCTTCTTGTGTCTTCCCCTCAGGCCTGGGACCAGGACACCACATTTCTTCCTACGGAGTTAGCTCATTGCTAAATGATGCAAATCACAGACCCCTGCTATTGAACAATGAAACCTATTAAACCATAGAATCACTTGCCCTGCCAGACAATCTCACCTCACAGTGAATTCCACTTCTGTCTGCCCCTGAATTCTTGGGCTCACTGCTCTGCGTTGCCCCTGCAGATGAAGGCTAAAGTCCCAGCTCTCAGCTTATGTGCAGACAAAACAAGCAGAAAGCCCAGGTGGTGTGGCTGAGCCAGTTCTCCTCTGCACCAGCCATGCTGCAGCAGGGAGCAGAGCACTCTCAGTTGATGGTCAGAGGATAGTCAGCACTTCGAGCAGCCCCAGGTAACTAGCCTGGCAGTGTCACTTCCTCCAACTGAGGTCACGGATACCCAGGAGCAGCATATCCAGCAACCCCCTGAGCTCAAGTAAAGTGTGAGCCAATTCGATGACAAATCTTCCCATTAAAATCCAGTGAAGCGGATTCATCCTGTGATATGATGATATGGTTTGATAATTAAGGAGGGCTGGAGTTGGAGTTCTCTAGATATGGAAAATAGCCAACATAAAAGCCCCTATGAAAATTCCCCATAGGTTCAGAATTATTTGCTTAGCATTATAACACACTTACAATGTGATAAGTGAATAGAATCTACTTTTTTTCCTCTGCTCCACCATATTCTTGTTTGATTATTTTATGTGTTAATTTTTAAATTGTTCTTCTGTGGGGGATTTATTCTGTTACTTATTGTCGTTCTTTGCATACCAGAAGATCTGGAAGAACTTCTGTCCCCTTTTTTATAATGGAGCCTTGGGAATCACTAAAAATTGGTTAGATAGGGGGATGTTGTTGTTGCTGTTGTTATGTGCCATCAAGTTGGACCTGACTCATAGTGACCCCTCCATACATCCATGAAAAACTAATTTTCACTGTGCATTCCTAATATTTAGAAGTTTATGTTTAATCATATGGCTAATCTAGTGCCATAATGTCTTTAATCCCTTGCTTACTAGATCAATACCTGTTTCAGTAAGATGGAGTCTACAGATGGCTGGCCCTGCTTCTGACACCCACTGTTCAGAGCCCATTCTGTTCTCTCTATATTTTTGTTAACCCCTCAGCTTTTAACATTACAATAGCAACATGCCTGGAAGCCACAAAAGTACTAAATGAAGTTGGGGGGCGGGGGTGTCTGTAGAGTTAGAACTTTAAATGGCTTGGGAGCCAAAAGGATAGGAGCCTCATGGAAGCTAGAATGGAATAATAGAATGGTATATGGTCAACAATGAAATATGGAGGCCGCCATACTGTATCGAGATAAGATCTGCATGCCACAGCTGCTGGTTGGGTGAGCATTGGTGAGCCTTGGTCTGTCTTGAAGTGGAGGTGACAGCTCCTATTCCCTGACAGATGGCTGGAGGGCTGGCTGCGGTGGATGCAATAGGGGGTAAAAAAGGCACCAAGACATAAAAATGGCCCTTGAGCTGGAGGGGAGATATGACAACTATTCCATTACCCAGCTTGAAATTTGGACACGGTAATGTCTTCAGAGGGCTGCAACTGAGTCCCTAAGATGGAAACTAAAAAGAGAAAAAGATACATGTTTTGGCCCTTTCATTCAATTCAACTCTGGCTTCACTACTTAGCCCCCAATGTAGGCATTATCTGTCTATATATCTATATCCGTATGCCAGCACCAGAGCCTGAATGTTTCTAGCTCTAGGTATGTAGATATACCAAATCGTATCTTTAAACAAGAGCTAAAGAATGCTTGGAAGCAGCTGCCGTGATCTTTCCCTAGCCATATGTAGGATTTGTTTTAACCTAGCATTATGGAGGCAGACTTGAAGGGAGACATCCCCAACATTGCTAAAATGTAAGTACAAAAGGCACAAATTGGATGGATATTGATGATGTAGTTTCTATCATAACATCATCCATAGACTCCTAGTGTCTTTACTTTGCTTCCCTATAGTGATCACAACATAAATTACTTGTCTTGTTTGACTCCCTTGTTCACCAAAGTTGAGCAGATTGTGGCCGTTTTCAACGCTTCCACCAGACAAAAAGCTTGGGACCATTTCTCGAAAGCTCAGCGCAAGAACATAGACATTTGGCGAAAGCATTCTGAGGTTGGTGATTTTATTATTACTTTTTAACCACCATCACACAGCTGGATTGGCAGAGAGTAGTGTGGCTGCAGCTATTACGGTTCTTTTTACAGTGGGCAGTCCCCCTGCCATTGTGCCGTCTCATTATCAGCTCCAAATCCAGCTCAGATTTGCTCCTTATCAGGAGCAGTGGCTGACTTAATGCATAAAGCATCAAGTGCCTTTCTCCCCTGCTAAGGGAGAAAATAAATATTCCCAATTGCAGTGACGATGTCAGAAATAAACCAAGATCCTTTGTTTAATAAATCATTGTGAACGAAAGTGTAACGTCAAATAGAAAACTTGTTTTGAAAGACATGCAGATTTTGTTTTCAGTGTTCTACGTGATGATGATGGTTTGCTCTTTGGGCTATAAATGGCAAGTATGCCTTTCCATCCCTGTCTTTCATCGTAAGCAATGTCTTTGTCCTTTGTGCTAGCCGTTAGGTTATCTCACACTTCTCCCCAGAGTACATTTCCCAAGGGGAGTGAACATGCAGGCTAGCCTCAGTGCATGTGTGATTATGTGAGTATTTGTCCCCCAAGGAAAGAGTCCAGAACTTGACCTTCCTTGGCACCCAGAAGGATCAAAATGCATCATTAGCCATTGGTCGTCCAGCTGTTCTTATTAATTCCACAGTGTAGTATACGCTTTGAACCTGTAATTTAAAAGTAAGTATACTGTCTTTGCTTCTTTCTTTATTATTATTTTTTAATACGAGAATGTTTTTCATTTGGATGCCTCTTCACCTCCAGTACATTAATATTAAAGTTCTCTAAATGATATTCCCCTCTTTCAAAACCCCAAATGATAGAAGGTAAGGTTTACTTATTTAATTATTTTGAGGCACCCTTGTCAAATAAGCGTTTCATGCAGAGTTTGAGAAACCACAAAATACTGTGATATCAATCTTTCGGGTAGCATTTTAAGTGCCCATTAACTAATGCTAAATTACAGTTGAATACCAATGGGCACTAGACATAACATCCACACGAATACCAAATGAATTCTTTATTATCACTGTTATTATGGTGAAACGGAAAGACTTCACAATAATGGGGCACTTAAAATGCTAGTGCAATTTATTGTTAAGAAGGACATTTTTATTTTGTTCACAATTGCCTAAGAAGGTGGCTGGTGGCCGATGCAGCTCTGTTCCTACATGCAGGACAATGAGTAAGGAGGAGGTGGGGTTTTTCTTTAATTTTTCAGGGGCCAGAAAAACAAAGGATGCTTAGCTGATGCTCTCCCCCACGCAGATTTGCTGATTTGACAATGATCTGTCTGTGAATTATTGCTGAGGTTTTTTGTTTTTTGTTTTTTTTAAAAACCCTTTCACATAAAAGCCAGGCATGATTAAAAGAAATGTTAGGAAAAAAGCAGATGGCATAATGCTGTAGGCATTACAACGCGGTCATTAGTATGTGAGTGTCAGCAAATATTAGCCACCCATCTAAATCATGCTCCTAGCCTTGCCCTAGCCCAGCTGCCCCCAGTGCTGTCCTCTCCTGGCTAAGCAGGACATGCTAAGGCTTCTCATGTTGTTGCAGGAAGTCCATTTGCTCTGCTTAGCCCTGGGAGGTAGAAATAGCTGTTCCAGTCACATGAAAGGTGTGCAGTCCTAAAATGAGCTCCTGGAAGGAGGCTCTATGCCTCCCTACCACTACCACCTCCACCAAGTTTGATATACATACATTAAAAAACAGAACTATAAATTACCTTTGATTTTCTTTCCTACATGTCGCTTAATTGATTAAATACCAGTTGGTAATTTAACACTGTGGATGATTTCTCAGTTGCAGATAAGCTTGATAATTGGCTTGATTTTTCCGCATTCCCTTAGACAGCGTCTGTTAATTATCTACAACACCTTTACAGATTTATTAGAGTGTATTAGTGATTTACTGCTGAAGCACAGGCCCCCTGTGGAAAAACCTTCAGCTTTTTTTTTGCCCCCCAATTTTTTCCTTTCTGCCACCCTTCCCAACAGGAACAGCTACTGTATGACAGTTTGTCATTAACTGTAGGGGCTAAACAGCAAGCTCTTTCAGCTTCATTTATTCTTTCCAACTGACTTTTTGCTTGTTTCCAGTATTTTCAATCCACCTCTTTGAGAATTGGGCTCTATGTCAGTAGAAAAATTAGCTGTCCACAACTTAGAAAGTTCCACACTAATCACATGTAACATCTGTCTGTTTTTAAAGATGAATCAGCACCTCTTTCTTCTGGGTGCATGATCAAATAAGGAAGATTAGACAATCTACTTCTGTAGTGATACTGCCTCAGAAACCCAAAGAGGGGCAGCTATGAGTCAGATCCAACACAACAGTAGTGCGTTGGCCCCCGCCCCATAGTCCAAGGAACCCTGGTAGTGTAGTGGTTAAGCATTTGGCTGCTAACTGAAAGGTCAGTGGTTCAAACCCACCTGCCACTCCATGGGAGAAAGATGAGGCAGTCTTCTTCTGTAAAGATTTACAATAGTATCTGCACACTCATCAAATGGGCACTGAAGCTGTTTGAAGCCATGCCATTTGTACATTAAGTACTATAAATTAGTTTTATTGTTACTTATACATTTGTTTATTTTAAAATAAAATTATTTCTAACTTTTTGACTTCTATTTAGAGACTTCAGTTTGAAGGGGGAGGAAGAATAATGCAGCCCTTTCCCTGTTTTACTAACTGTCATCAAGTCTGTCCTAACTCATAGTAACCCCCATTGGGTTTCTGAGGTGGTAAATCTTTACAGAAGTAGATTGCCCTATCTTCCATGAGTCAAAACTGACTCCATGGTAGTGGGTTTAGTTTTGGCGGTTTTGGTTCCCTGTTTTAAAATTTTGAAGATGGTACCATAAATATGAGAGAACAAAATGAATACACATCACAAAGTATATAATATACATCTTGATACAAAAGAACAGCATATTATTTAACACAGAGTATTATAATGTCCAAGGAGCTTTGGTGACAAAGCAGTTAAAGTATTCAGCTACTAACCAAAAGGTTAGTGGTTCAAACCCACCAGCCACTCAGTAGGAGAAAGATGAGGCAGTCTGCTTCTGTAAAGATTTAAAGCCTTGGAAGCCTTAAGGGGCAGTTCTACTCTGTCCTACAGGATCACTCTAAGTTGGAATCTACTCGATAGCAATAGGAATTAAAATGTTCTAATTTTAGCTCTGGTAGCGTAGTGCCTAAGGCACTTGACTGCTAACCAGAAGGCTGGTGGTTCAAACCACCAGCCACTCCTCGGAAGGAAGATGGGGCAATCTACTTCTGTAGTGATACTGCCTCAGAAACCCAAGGAGGGGTCGCTATGAGTCGGGTGAGACTCAGTGGCACATAACAACAACAACAACAATTTTATCCACAGTAGAAAAAAAATTATTTTGTAGTTCTTTATTTTCTACAATTAATTTGCACATATACTATTACATTCAAACAGCTTTGTATTATTATTATCCTCATTTGTGAAAGAATAGAGAAAGGCCAGCCAAAATTAAGTGGTGTTACTACAGTCACTCCTCTAGCCAGTAGAGAGTCTTATGTGATCCCAAAGATGCAGGGTTCACAAGTGATGCCAAAACCACCTCCCACAGGGCAAAAACAGCAAACCCTGCAAGATAACGTGAAGCACCAAAAGAGAAAGCTTCTGTCTTTTATTTCATTCCCCAACATCTTTCAAAGTCTGCAGTTTCAGTATCTGAATGGTTTCTGTGTGTATGTGTCTGTGTGTGTGTTATCACACACGGGCACGTATACACATATGAGCACACTCCGGATGAAGAACAAAATAATCAGCAGCATCACCTGAGCAGACCAAATGTTTGGCATGATACTATTTTACATGCATTAACTCATTTAATCCTCAAAACTCTTAGCATCATAATATTCTATATGAGCAAAAAACCATTGAGTCAATTCTGACTCAAAGCGACCCCCATTGGGTTTCCAAGGCTGTAAATCTTTATGGAAGTAGATCACTCCATCTTCCTTCTTTGGATTGGCTAGTGGGTTTGAACCACTGACCTTCTGGGTAGCAGCCACATGCGGTTATCCTCTACACCACAAAACTCCTTCTAAATGAGCAAAGGGAAGCTAAAAGAAATGAAGAAACTTTCTGAATATTACACGGTCCTTTTATATTTCACTGCTTATGTTCTTAACCATTAAAGTGAATCCCTACTATGTGCCAGCCATGGTGATAGGCATTTCTATGTAATCCTTGCAATGGCCCTGATAACAGTCCTTCTTGTACAAATAAGGAAAGTTAGACCAAAGAGAAATTAAATAATTTGCTAGGAAGCCCTCAGCTAGTCATTAGTAGAACAGGAATTCATCACAAGTCAGGCACCAAAACCCTTGGTCTGCCCACTACCCTACACCATGCAGAACTTCATTCTAGATTAGGTAAGGCAATGTTTGGGACATGGGAGCTTCAGACTGTAAAAGTTGATGTGTCAATCATCATATACCAGAAGACCATTGGAAAAGGTATGTTGACATGTGTCTGTGGCTCTGACATTGGTGTATCCTCTTGTTTCAGGAGCTCCGGAACGCTCAAAGTGAGCAGCTCATGGGCATCCGTCGTGAAGAAGAGATGGAAATGTCAGACGATGAGAATTGTGACAGCCCTACTAAAAAAATGAGAGTCGATGAATCAGGTAACGTTGATAATAGCCACCTACCCAGGACATGGCATAATGATCTTCCAGATCTTAGGTGGAGAATAAATATCAGGAAATGACCCTATAACTCACTTTTATATGAGTTATACTAAACTTTCATCTTTGAATGGCTCTGCCTTTTATTAATGGAACTTTAAACTCCTTCTCAGGTACATAGCGATTTCCATTGCTCCGATTTTTTCTTCTTTTTTTTGTATCTATATGTAGACCTGGAGCCATTCTACCTTTTTCAGGGATATTTGCTATTTGCCATAAAAATCCTTTTCCAGAGTATGGCAGCCACAGCTGATGCTGAAATGCAGATGAAATTTGGTTTCAGGCCATATACTCTCACATAGGAATTGCTTAATCCCCATAGAAGCTTTCCAGTCTCTGAGCCAATGTGCTGGAGGACTGGCTTTTTCCAATCAACTTTAGTTCATTTAATGTGTAATCAAAGGGTGGCCCAATTTGTACTGAGTGAAAGACATCACCCTTTGTGGTTTAAAAAAAGAGAAAAACTTAGAACCTTGCTTTATATGCTGTGCCCAGTCTGAGATGCTCACTTAAAAATCTCTCCTCTAGTTAACCTCTTCCTGGTAATGTAAAAGCAGACAAGGGTAATGCTTACTCAGAGATATGGGACAGCTGGGAGAACTGTTTGTCTGAAAGAAGGTGCAGTCTCTATGGCCAGGAAGGTACCACAGTTGCCACCATTGCCAAAAAAGAAATCAGAGGGGTGTCATAGATTGGATCTGTCTCCCCATATGGGCCATGAATAAAGCTTTGTAACAGAAAGATGAAGATAAGCAGAAATAGAACGTCTTTGCTAACATGTTTGTAGAAGCAAAAATCATTCCAAAATGGTCACATTGCTCTGTTTCTCCAGGGCTTTACAAGGAAGGCATAAATGATGACCACAAGAAAAGCTTCTGCAACCAGGCACATACAGAAAGGAGTGGTTCTCTAAGTGTGTTTCCTGGTCCAGCAGCACCAGAGTCACCTGGGACTTTGACAGGAATGTAGATTCTCAGGCCCTGCCCTAGATCTACTGAATCAGAAACTCTAGGAGTGAGGGTGGGAGTTATTTCAGCAATCTGTAATTTATATTCTCTCGGGGATTCTGGAGCAAGCTTAAGTTTGAGAACCACTGCCTTCATCCTTTCATCCTCAACTTCCATTCCTTTCATTCTCTGAGAAGCTTAGCATAACAGGGGAACCTCCTGTTAACTATACCACTGTTTCCTGAAGCTATATGCCCTTTGTCTGAAAAAATGAACCTAGCATATATATGTCAATGTGTGTCTCTTATTCAGCTGATACCAGATTTCTCAGGACTGCGTTTTTATGAGATTTGGATTTGTTTATTTGAGGAGGTCATCTTCCTCACAGTTTTCTATTCTCTTAACTCTTAAACCAAAAACCAGACTCACTGCCATCGAGTCAGATCTGAGTCAGCGACCCCTCCTTGGGTTTCTGAGGTAGTATCACTATGAAGGGAGCTCTGGTGGTGTAGTGCCTAAGGCATTTCACTGCTAACCAGAAGGCTAGTGGTTCAAACCCACCAGCCACTCTTTGGAAGGAAGGTGGGCAATGTACTTCTATAGTGATACCACCTCAGAAACCCAAGGAGGGGTCGCTATGAGTTGGATCCAACTTGACAGCAGTAAGTTTGTTTGTTTGTTTGTTTTTTATCACTGTGGAAGTAGCTTGCTCAACCTTCCTTTGAGGAGTGGCTGGTGGGTTTGAACCACTAGTTTTCTGGTTAGCAGTCAAATGCCTTAGGCACTATGCCGCCAGAGCTCTCTCTTAACCCTTAGATGTCAACAAAAGAAAGGAGCGAATATTAGTGTGATTTCATAGAGTCCCTGTGTAGTGCCAACCATTACATGCTCAGCTACTGACCAAAAGTTTGGGGGTTCAGACCCACCCAGAGGTGCCTTGGAAGAAGGGCCTGGAAATCTACTTCCGAAAAGTCACAGCCATGAAAATCCTCTGGAAACTACCCTGACGTATAGGTCTGTCATGGGTTGGGATAGGCTTGAAGACAATTAGTTTGCTTTTTGGTTTATTAGTGTGATTTACTGAGATTATGTAAGGTTTTCAGATAAATAAATCAAATTGTTTTTTTTTTCAAAAAAGCTTTCATCATTTTTAAAGTTTCTAGATAGGGGGCTAGCTTACATGAAAGTTGGGCTTTTAATATCCTTATAAGGTAGGTATAGAAGAAAATAACAGTCAATCAGAAATTCTGATTTGAACCTGATTTCGTGTGTGTGTGTGTGTGACATTTCTTTTTAAACAACCTGTCAATGTCTCAAGTAAGAAATGTGTATAATTTCATAGCCTGCTTAGAATAGGTCTGTAATTATAATTACTCTGTACAGCCTTGGAAGGAAGGTTGGGTAATCCTACTTCTGTAGTGATACTGCCTCGGAAACCCAAGGAGGGGTCGCTATGAGTTGGGACCGACTCAACGGCACATAACAACAACAACTACAACAGCATGTTGACTGGGGAGTTTTATAAACTATGGCAGCAAGCATATGCATGAAGGATTGGTGTCCAATCCCTGCTGCAGAAGCTTCATAGAGATGGCAAGGACCTCTCCCCTCAGCAGGGTCCACAGGTCCTCTCTGGAAGCTCCATTGAAAAGCTCGTTCTTAGTTTCCTAGTGCTGCTATAACAGAAATACTGCAAGAGGGTGGCTTTAATGAACAGAAATTTATTTTCTCAAAGTTTAGGAGACTAGACATCAGAATTCAGGGCTCAAGGCTCTCTTCTCTGCCCACTCTGAAAGAAGATCTTTGTCTCAGCTCTGTAAACCCCATGTCCCTGGGCTCCATGACAATTCACCCTGTGTCATCTATCTTGTCTATCTTGTGTTTGCTTCTAAACTTCTTTGGTGTAATCTGCCCTTTTTTATATTTTAAAAAGTCATTAGGTTTAGGATACACTCTATTCCAATATGGCCTCATTAACATACCAGAGAAAATCCTGTTCCTAGTTGGGATTATATCTATAAGCATAGGTGTTAGGATTCCAACATATATTTTGAGGGCACATAAACCAATCCAGTAGGAGCTCTGGTGGCATAATGGCTAAAAGCATTTTACTGCAAACCACAAGGTCAGCAGTTCAAATCCACCAGCTGCTCCATGGGAGAAAGATGTGGTAGACTGCTTCCATAAAGAATTATAGCCTTGGAAACTCTATGGGGCAGTTCTACTTTGTCTTATAGGGTCTCTATGAGTTGCAATTGCTGACAGTGGGTTTGGTATGGGTTAAATCAATCCATAACAAACCCTCTTCCCAAGCTTCTTGGTTTATTTCAGGCATCTGCTAAAAGAATGAAATAAGACATGAACTTTTAGAAACTTTTGTCAGTCTTGTAACTTGGTCAGCAGAATTAGTGAACAAAATGGTATGCACACTCTATGCTGGGTGCTGAGGAGGGGAGAGGAGAGAACTGGAGTTCAAATGCCAGATGCTGAGGCATTCAAAGTCTTTTTGTGTTTTGTAAAATGAGGTAGACCAGGATTTATGAAGAAAACAGGGGACTGATTAGAGGGAAGGGAATGAAACTAACTTTTTTTTTTTTTCATAGCACTGAGTCTTAGAAACCACCCCCCCCCCCAAAAATGCAGGCAGCTGTTCAGGAGTTCTGGTGGTATAGTGCCTAAGGCATTTGACTGCTAACTAGAAGACTGGTGGTTCAAACCCACCAGCCAGTCCTTAGAAGGAAGACTGGGCAATCTAATATCTGTAGTGATACTGCCTCAGAAACTCAAGGAGGGGTTGTTATGAGTTGGACCCGACTCCACGGCAGTGAGTTTGGTCTTTTGGTTTTGGATTTTCTTTCATCTTTGTATGTTCCATGGCACAACCTGACAGAAGGAATGCCTATCTGGTCTTTTGACCAAGCTGCAGACAATTCCTTGGTAACTGCTGCTTGAATGGTGGGGCTGAGGCCAGCAGCCTGAGGGAAACACTTCTTTCAGTGGAATCTAGTTAGGTGGCATATCACTCATCTCTAGTACAAATTTGCACCTGTCATTCACCTACTGACTAGTCCCTCAAAATGTAACACTAATTCACTGACAAAGGAATTGCCAAATTTGGAAATAAAAGTAAATTCTCTGTCCCTTAAAGAATCTGGTTCCTATTTTCTTTTTGCTAAAGTGGTGGGATTTTACCCTAGACCTATGTAACCAGTTGTCATGGAGTTGACTCCAAATCATGGTGACGCCCATGCGTGTCCGAGTAGAACTGTACTCCATAGGATTTTCAGTGGCTGAGTTTTCAGAAGTAGATCACAAAGCCTTTCTTCTGGGTAGCTTTGAACCTCCAACCTTGTAGTTAGCAGCCAAGCATGTTAACTGTTGGCACCACCAGACCTGGGTAATAGCTGACCTGCTCTTAGAGTTTCCAGGGGAGAAGATCCCTCATGGACCCTCCCGCCTAGCCTGATGTAGGTATACTTGGGTTTCAGTCTACCACTGTTGGCTTTGCTTTCCATTTCCCTACTAGAACAAAAGAGTCCCCAGTGGTACAAACAAGGAGCTCTGGTGGCAGAGTGCCTAAAGCTAACCAGAAGGTTGGCAGTTCAAACCCACTAACCACTCCATGGAAGGAAAACTAAGCAATCTATTTCTGTGAAGATTTACTGCCTTGGAAACCCAATGGGGTTTGCTATGAGTTAGATAGACTCAATGGCAGGGGATTTAACAGAACAAATGGTTAATGCCCTTGACCACCAACCAAAAGGTTGGAGGAACACACCTAGAGATGCCTTGGAAGAAAGGCCTGGCAATCTCCTGAAAAATCAGCCTGTGCGGAATCTACAATCTGTAGTGATATTGAAAATCCTGTGGAACACAGTTCTACTCTGACACACATGGGGGTCACCCTGAGATAGGAGTTTACTTGATGGCAACTGCCTGGTTACTATAATAAAAACCTGTGTAAACTTTTCTGTAACCTGCATGGGTTTTGTT